ATGGTTATACAAAAACTTTGAACTTAAAAAGGCTGTCCTTCATTCTCAAGAGCACAGAGGATCCCACACTGCAGCTAGGAACCTGGAACAAGCCTCCAAAAATGAGACAGCATTGCAGGTGGCTAATGCTAATAAATAACATTTAACAGTTTTCATTTAATACAAGTTAAAGTGCTATGCATATCATATGGCTGTTACTGAATATATGTCACCAGCTCTTTCAGCTGTTGCACAATTTTTTTGTAGCAAATAAGCCTAAATAAGACGGCTATGTTCTGACAAAGGAAAGTATATTTTAAAAAATCGGCATCGGTTATCGGCCAAATAAGTTTTAACATATCGTCATATCGGATAACGGCCAAAAATTTAATATCGTGCATCCCTAATAAGCAACACTGTCAGGTGTTAAAAGATTTTGACCTTATAAAAAAAGGTTTTATTTCGTACATATCATACTTGCCTGTAGAGAAGAGTTTGTTAATAGAACTCAATAGAACTCAACAATAATGATAATATGTTAAAAAAAAAATAGAGCTCTGGTATCAGACTTGTATCGGTATTGACAGAAACCCAAATTCAAATATTGGGATCAGATGTGAAAAATGGTGGATCGATACATTCCTAGTTACACGAACTAGTTGGAACTGTATGTTGTAGATGTTTTATTTTTTTCAAGGAGTTTAAGAGTACCCCAAACATTTAAAACAAGAAGTCATAGGAGGCAAAACTCAGCCTACTTTGTGCTGCACAGATGTATAATAGGTAATCATAGCAGATACCAGTAAAAGTTAAAGAGTTTCTACATTACGAGTGCAAATGCAGATTTATTACCATGAGTGCTGAAAAAGAGTTCAATTTGTTTGACCAATCAATGTACATTTATTACCTTACATTTATCTATGGACCAATGCCATCTATCACTTGAGAGAGCCAAGAAAACACCTACTCTGAAGCACTGTGATATATATCTTTTACAAAAAAGGAAAAAATAATGTCTTGATAAATAATAAAATCTGAACAATTTAATGAGCAAAACGCACTTAATGAGATAACCGAGCAATGACTGGGCTGTTGTATACTTACTGTCATTTTAAAAAAGGTACCGTATTCATGTTCACCTTATCTTCTAGGGACAATCTTAAAGTAACCTTTTTAAACCTTTTCAAATAGATGAACAATACTGAATTATTATGTCCATGGTTTAACGTTTATTGGAAATATTTATCAAGAGTACAGCATCCGCAAAAGAGCTCAACATCACTAATTGGAAGGTTACCTCTAATCAAATTTTTAAAGTAAAATTTACTAAACGGCCCTTCCACAAACAATACATTGCTTTCTATAAGCAAAAAGTAAATAATTTAACCATGTACTTGTTTGGACAATAAACATTAGCATCCCAGCAGTTAACAACCCCCAGTAAAAGCACTCATGTTTAAGTCTGTTAGGGTATAAAGTGTCTTCATTGTCTCTCTGTGTTTACAGTGATGACTGAGCCTTTGAAGCTGAACTTCTCTTCAGCTGCAGAGCTGCATCCACCGACTCCACAGGATGTCCAGTTTCTGTCTGTGAGGCTGACACCTCGTCTACTTTTAAGATTAGGTTTCCTCTTTGATGAATCCTATAGTTAGGGTCAACTTGGGTTTCCTGAGCTATCCCTTAGTTACGCTGCTACAGGCTTAGACTGCTGGAGGACAAACCACATTTCCTCACCCTGCTGCTGTCTTCACCTGTGTGTGTAATTATTTCTATCTGTAATGTGCTTTTCTGTCTTTCTTCCAATAGACAGTGCACCTGGACCTGCCGGTCTATGTTTGTTTGTTTCTCCTTCCTGTCTTATTAAACCCCAGCCGGTCGAAGCAGATGGACGCTCACCCTGAGCCTGGTTCTGCTGGAAGTTTCTTCCTGTTAAAAGGGAGTTTTTCCTTTCCACTGTTGCCATTGTGCTTGCTCAGGATGGGAGACTGCAACAACGTGACGTTCAACGTAATCTGTTGGCTTCCTTAGATAGATAACTTTTACCAAATGTCTTGTATAATGTATGTGGATGTTTCTGTGGTGCCCTGAGATGACTTCTGTTGTGACTTGGCGCTATATAAATTAACTTAATTGACATTTTCACAACCCATGCCTGCACTAAGATGTTCTTGCACCATTCTAGTAAATGCTAATACTATTACACTAGTACTATAGTGTGTGAGTGCAGCAGGCTGGACCCTTTTGGGAGGATACCATCAACGATTGGAAAGCAGAAAAAGAACGGCTTTTGAGACCAGGGATGTAAAGATTAACCAATTTGTACTGATTCACGGACGTGAATGCACGATGTGACTGCATTGGTAGAGCAGCCAACGACTAATGCAGTTTTGGGACTAAATCCAGATGCATGGGTCTGTTACATCTTTGAGTTGATCAAATCCAATTCCTTTAACGAATAAATGAAAAACCTGTAAGCAGGGTTTGTTTCTTACGACGGAGCTGTAGGGCCACGCTAAGAAAAAAAAAAATTTAAGCCATAAAATTATGAGAATAAAGTCCTAGTATTATGAGAATTGTCAAATAAAGTCTTAATATTATGAGAATAGGGTCGTACGAGACTTTTTACAGATCGTGTTTTTTGTTTGTTTCCACGAGTCGAATCCACAACGTGACCTGTCAATCAATCCAGTAGTCGTGTGGAAAAATGAAGAATGTTGAGCATTCTTATGATAAACTGAAGCCGTATGGCATTGAAATTAATGGTTGTATTGACAGATTTATTCATGACATAATGTGGATGGAGGCATATTTCACAAACGGTGAACAAAAAGTGATTGCAGACTACTTCATAAACACAGTGACTCTCATTGGAGGCTGTCCATAGCACTCACAATGCAACCCTTGATTTCTCAATCATTTGGCTTCGGATTGGTCATTTGCTGACACGCCTACTGGATTAACAGGTCACGTCGTGAATCCGACTCGTGGGGAAAAGAAACAAAACACAAGAGCTGCAAAAATTCTCGTACGACTTTATTCTCATAATTAGGGATGCATGACATTGGATTTTTGGCCGATATCCGATATGCTGATATGTTAAAACTTATTTGGTCGATAACCGATACCGATATTTTATACACGTTCCTTTGTCAGAACATAGCCTTCTTATTTAGGCTTATATGCTACAAAAATTGTGCACCAGCTGTAAGAGCTAGTGACATATATTCAGTAACAGCCATATGATATACATAGCACTTTAACTTATATTAAATGAAAAGTGTTAAATGTTATTTATTAGCATTAGTCACCTGCGATGCTGTCTCACTTGTGGAGGTTGTTCCAGGTTCCTAGCTGCAGTGTGGGATCCTCTGCACTCTTGTGCATGAAGGACAGACTTTTTAAGTTCAAAGTTTTTGTCTCTCCATTGTGCCGTAAGACTAATCATGCTAACGGGGCTAACACGACGTCCAAATGTTTGTGGTAAAACTCACCCAACAAGTCGTGCTATCAACTATTAGCTTCTCAATGACATCGGAAATGACTGCTTGTACCTCAGGTAATGTTATGTCGGAAAAATATGTCCGACTGCCGACGATGTCGCGAGGCTCAACATAGTCCATAAATCTTCGGAATCCATCATCCTCACCAACGAAAAATAAAACTTCCACACCCCTGACATTTTGAATTTTCCTCTCCGCCGTGAGATCAGGTAGGTGCACGTGACGTCATCACGTTGTGCTGCCGCCGCAGGCAAAAACAACGCCTTTTATATCGGCGAGTTATTTTAATGGAATGGTCGATGTTCGATATTGAACTTCAACGCTAATATCGGTTGATACCGATACCGTGCATCCCTACTCGTAATATTAAGACTTTATTTGACTTTATTCTCGTAACACTAGGACTTTATTCTCGTAATTTTATGGCTTTTAATTTTTTTTTTCTTAGAGTGGCCCTAAAGCTCCGTCGTACTTTCTACTGGCATTGATTTAAAAAAAAAAACAACAATAACAAAAAATAATTTAAAGATGTTTAGTTGGTTGTGTATGAAGAACAGATCCTTCATTTTCACTTCTTTTAGCAAATAACTTCTTCTGACTCTACTTCCTGTACTGAAGCGGCATTGTTTCTTTTATTAGTGACACCTGCTGTTTAGGAGGAGAACTGCAACCGCAGTATAAACAGCAACAAACACTGAAAAGTGTGCTTCAACCAGAGGTCATGTGGATCAACTCCCATTTCAGAAAAAAAAAAGGGTCAACTTGTGTTTTATTACTTACAACCTGAACTTACTCAAACAGTAGCCTTTTATTAAAACACATCTGCTACTGGCAGTTTTGAACATTTTACATGGGGCTTCATTTTGAACAATGCAGATGTGTGGAAAAGGCTGTGAAGCAACTCAAAAGGAGTTTAATAAAATGCCCACAAATGTTTCCATGACTCATTTACCCAGTGCACGCTTTGATTCACGAAATGGAAACCAGCAAGAAAACGCACACACACACACACACACACACAAGTTGGGAGGAGGATATAACCCAAACAAAGCCTTTCTCCAGCCCCGACTGTACCTCCAAACCACAGGGGCTGATATTTAACAGTATATTTAACCCGGATGTTTTTATATTTTCACTAGTGGAGCGTGAGTTTAATCACGCAAACAAAACAAACAGCATCAAATCTGAGAGGAGTGGGCTGCAGGCGGTGTTCAATGGAGCCCATTTATCGCGGGCTTGACTCCAACTCCTCCCGCATGTTGTGTTTTTGACGATTACAAACATTAATTAGTACCAAACTCTTGGTTTGAACGAGCTGCTCTGTTTAACCGCGTCTCTCAAAAGGAAAGCGTATCCTAATGTGGTGAATGTGTCAGTAGTTGTAAAAAATAAACAATTAAACTGGCCTGTACGTGAAAGTATCGGGCGTACAGACAAAGGGAACGATGGTGAAACGCAGCGTGGAGATTAGTGCCTGAGCTGTTTATCCAGAAAGGAGCCACAAGAAACGAGGCTGCTCACCCAGAAGATGAAGTTGCAGAAAAACAGCAGGTACTTGATGCATTTGGTGCAGCCTTCGACTCCCATGGTGGTCCGATAGACGACGTGTTGGCAGCGGAGTTTCTGAGGAGAGGAAGAGGCGGCAAGAACAGACGAATAACGGGCTCGAGCTCACTGAAATGCCTGGTTCTGCTCGTGGAAGGAGGCAACACCCAACTCCTCCCCCCCGCCCCCCCAGTGGATTGGGCTCAACTGTATGGCAGACCGAAGTTACATATAATCAAACCACAATTCATTAATTTATTTGAGTGATGATTTAAAGAGATGTTGCAGCCACTTTTAAGTGGAGTTTTATGGAAAGGGTAGGAACGATTAATATCTTACCTGCTGAAAAATAGGTAATTGATCTGCCTCTTTTTGGGTAAATAAAACTTAGTTCCGACTGGATGAACAAACATACGGTAGTCCCTTGTTTATCGCGGGGGATCAGTACCCTGAAGACCCGTGATAAGTGAAAAACCCGCAAAGTAGGAATAGTAGTACAAGTAGTAAGTAGTAGCTTACTTTAGTATATATATATATATATATATATATATATATATATATATATATATAT